GAAATCATTCAATCTCTGTAATACTTAAACAGGCTGGAGACAAAGCAGAAAAAATCGGTGTCATTGATCTACATTGATTGACATATTTACACCCATTCCTTCATTAAGGAAAACATTTTTTTCAATTTCTGAAAAATGCTTTTGGAAAACAAAAACGACTAAAGTAAAAACATTTTTCCAATTATTTTAACGCACAATTTTTTTATTATGTTCCTGGCATGAGAATTTTGCCCAATGTACAGAAGAGTTCTTCCAAAAATGACAAACGCACACCATTCCTTTATATGTTTATATAAGTATCCTTACGTAAATACTGCTTAATGGAAAACATTATACTATAAGGACAGTGACATTGTCGGGAGTGTAGTTCAGTGGTGAGCTTCCATTTAAATAGGTGGATAACTGAGAAACACAGCTCTATGATAAAATGTGGTGTATTTACAGTGTGGTGAAAAAAAAACCAAACACAACCCTACCTCTACCCTAGCTCCACCCTAGGTCTAACTCTTCTCTTCAATAAATGGGCACTCTATAAATAGCCAGGTAGCTAGGCTACTTATAGACACCACAATCAAATTCTCAGACCCCCATTGGTCCATCACTTTAATATCATCTTAAGAGAGATTTTTCTATCTTCTCCAAACATCAAATACAAACCAACAATGAAAACCTCCATTCCTAGTTTATTTATCTCAGGAAAGCCTATACCGATTTACCCCTTATCTTAAAAGGGACCCCTCCTCAGCAGTGTATATGAAATGACTACAGTCTTCAATACTTGGACTCCTCATTTGGCAAACCAAAACCAACCAGATGTAGCACATGGAAAGGACTCAGCTTAAATGTAGGGAAACAAGCTTTATCTTTCATGTCGGTGGAAATATTTCTAAATCTGCCTTGCAATGTTTGTCACGCGTTTAGTACATGAATGGGACGGTCATCTCCTTCTGAAGAACTTACTCAGTATACACTGATGTCTGGAAATAATATATTTTTTGTTAGTTTTAATTAATAAATTCTTGACTTTTCAACTATTGGCTATTTATTTCTCCATAACTTTTCATATGAAATTAAACATGAAGACATTTGGCCTGAACTGTGGCCACACTTCATTGCTTAACTATCATGACTTGCTTGCAAACAATATGGTATTGGGACTGCCTAATATTGGGCTATTATTATTTACCCTCCATTAACATCCTATATGCAGCACAGCGTTACATACAGTACAGGCACTGAAGCTGCAAAATAACACCTCTCTGGGTCTTTTCGGCAACAGTGGTAACCGGCTTGTTAGCAGTATCTAAATTCCAGGTTCGATCCTACTTTCAGGTTGACTTACTTTATATATAATTTACAACTTTTACCCTAACTTTAGTTACATTTACATTTTACATTTAGTTACAAAACAAGAAAATAGGGAGATTCTTTAATAAAATGTTCTAATTCCTGCCTGCCCTCGTAAAAAAAAAAGTTTTTTGTGAAGTCCTTAATGCTAGTTTTATATTAATTAAGAATTCTGGATGAGCTTGCTCTCAGCAACTCTTCCTTAGTTACTGCAAGCCCCAGGCATACAGTACGGCTATTCAGGTGCCTTGCCAGATACAGACACAGCTAGGTTTGGCAAAGTCTTATACCACTCCAGGGACTGGCCTGGTGTCCATGTAGTGTAACTACGTAGTATCAGTATGAACTCAGCACACAGTAAAAAAAAATGAACACTGTAAATATGACTGAGGGTGTGTTTAAGAACCTTCAGCCATAAATTTAAAAAAAATGGATTGCTTCCAATAAAACTTGACAAAGGTTTTTCTACATCTGGTATGAAAGCAAGGTGAAGACAAAATATTTATTACTCCTGGTGTTATTACTTGAGATTTTATTTTTTCCAATAGACTGAGAAATGATACATTCCACCTCAGGCTGTCTGCTCTGGTATTTCAGAATCATCTAAAAATGACTCATTTTCTATTAATATGATGAATGTGCTAAATGAGGTATGTAACCAACATCATATGTTTGTAAACACTCTAAACTCTCCTGGGGATGAACTCTTTACCTCCTCTAATAAACCTGCCATCTATTACAGCATACTGAAGCCACCTTAAAATATGACAACCAGATACATGAAATTAGAATCATGTTTTTGTACAAAATGAATTTAACATCTAAAATTGTCATTAATGATGGCTGGAACAATTAGATCTAAGGTTATTAGAAATTTTGTTGGTTTATAATATTTGACAATCAGAAGGTTATTCATAAACCATTGGAAGCTTTAAATCTGATGATGTTCCAGTTATTTAGCAAGTTTCACAAAGTACTACTTAAGCCTTTTAGCCAGATAATTTGACATCATTGATTTGGGTTTCACCACTATGCAAAAGACCTTCTGTTCTATTTGTAGACCAAATCATATATTACCATTGAAGTTTTCTGCACGTAACAGACATCTGTCTGATATTAAGATATACAGCAGATACAGTAGAACTTTCTTAAAATTGACTTTGACAAAAAGGAGGTTATGATTTCTGCTTTCAAACATCAGTTTTTTTCAAACATCATTGTTATTTTTAGCCCTGTAGTATAATACGACGCACATTAGAAACATCACAATGCTATCTATTTTACCCTGGAGGACACTGGTCAGTTAGCATCTCTCCGGACACTGAAATACTGATACACAAGATTACTGCAATGGCTGATTTACTTTAAAGCAGGATTCATTATGTCCAGGCACCAGCGTACTAAATTACGCTGTACTCCACTATACTTATGTACTCCACCTCAGCACATAAGGCATGAACATATTCCAGCCTTTAAACTTCATTTTCTGATTCTGGCCTTTGTACTTTTGTGTAATTTAATCTTAATCTTGATTAGACAGAATACATTTACTGTACCTTATTTCTTTCAATTCTGTTTTGTTTCTATTTTGTTATTGTATAGTGTTATAAAATATCTTGAAAAATGGTGTAACAAAGCTTTATATATCATAACTGGCTAGTTACTTGCAATGTTTACTAGCTTAGTATGGGGCAGTACCTGCCGGTAACTGTTTAACGTCTGCATTGGAGTTATAAATAATTTTCACTGATATACGTTTTCTTCTAAAAAAAACGTGTAATACTTTCAGGATATTATCTGATTTGAGTTTTAATTTTCAAATATCTATTAAGTTAATTTGCAGCCAGAAAACACTCTTGTTGTTATAAAATTAATGATATGTTCCATACACAGATTTGGGAAAAATGAAAATATCAAACAAATAGAAACAAACAACCATGCATGCGCTTTTTGTTCCCATGACAGAATGTGACATGCCAGTTTCTAAATAATATCTTACACCCTGCAACGCCTTAACAACAACTCATTTTAAAGGCCTCAACTGAAATAACTACTTTACCTGCGCTGCAAATGCCAGCCCATTATTAGAAGGAGATATTAGAAATGGCCCTCTGTTCAGACTCAGGTATAGATTTTTACTCACTACATATCTGACATTTGTCATGATTCAAAGGATAGCATGCCGATAAACCACTGGGGCAGAGGCTTGAGCCAAGTTCAAAAGCTGACAAGAAATCTAAAAGGTGACTGTGAAGTACAACAATTAATTTTTTTCCAACCTACAAATAGTTTTCAGTCAAAACTGGCGATGAATGAAGAAAATTAGATTAGAAAAGCTGATGGGGGCATCAATTTAGCAGCCGCAGATGTGTATTTTCAGATATTTAATACATTTTTATATGTAAAAGATTTAAGGACACTTGGGAGAATTCTCTAGAGCATGTATATGGTTACATGCTCTTTTTATGCTGGTACTTTTTTACGTAAAACCATTTATGTACTTCACTGTTCAATAGGTCTTTTCACCTTGGACTATGCCAGTTTTGTACAATTGCCTTTTTGTACTTACAAAGCGCTTGGCTTTCAGACGCTCGTCCTCCGCAGTCACTCTTTCCCGCAGTACAGCCCTGCTAATGCTCTCTTCTGCAGCAGCTCGCTCCCTCTCCAGCGCTTTACCAATTTCCTCACGAACAAAAGCTTTATCTTGTTCTAACCTTAAAAATAACACAGAGGGGTGAATTTAAACAGGTGAGAAATGCCATCGATAAGGTTACCAAACACATGTTACAAACACACGTGTAACAATACAGAACTTAAGACCACAAAGTTTTAACTTCAAAACATAAGGAACATTTACTCTTACATATTTCTTATGACAAGAGTTTAATTAAATGTATGAGATTCAAGCCAGATTTAAAGTTATCTCAGTCTGTTGTTTATGCTTCATGAACAACCTTTCCTAGGCTGTTTCCACCACAAGAACTTGTAAATTACAAAAAAATATATTTTAAAAATGTGCAATTAGGAAACTGTAGAAAAATGTAACACTGTTTAATACCAATTACTGACAAAAGAGTGCTTTCATTTAAAATATGGGTAAGCAAACTACAAGAAGCTAAATCACTTTATTGCTATGAAGTTCTACAGTTGCTTAGCAACACATTTTCCATAACCCAAGCACCTTGATTCCCAGGGTGAACAAGTTATGATGACAAACTCTATGCAAAATCGTTTCTTAAAATAATTCAAATTAAAAAGGTTTACTTTTCAAGTAATCTCTTTTCAAAGTGTTTGTTCCTTAATACTTGCATTCTTCTCCTACATGCCTGTTATTTTCTCACATCACTTAAATCTGAATCAAAGACTGAATCAATTAACTGAATCAAAAAGGTCTAGACTGTCTAAGCAAATCTATATCGTACAGACGGTTTTCAAAATATTGTAAGTGTTTTTAATGTCCAAAGAAATTTTATATTTTCTATTCCTCAGGGAAATTACATAAGCTTGCATTTCTGGACCTTTTAATCATTTCCTATATCCTGACCATACAGGTGCTATTCAATGAAGACTGAGTCGTGCTGGAAGGCAATTTTCTAAACCCAGTAAATTATTCCAAACAAGTTTTCATCTATTTTAAAAAATACAGTTAATTCATGTGTACTTCGGAACTAAACACTTTTAGTTGTTCACATACACACTTCCTCATGATCAACACAAACTCACTTGCTCTGGGAGGATAAGTGGCAGCTACTGTCCAGTCTGGATTTCTAAAGCGAATGGATTATACACCCAGAAAAACTCACATCTACAGGAACCACCCTGCACTTCTCAGAGCTACATTTCAAAGCAATGAAGGATTTTCTTTAAAAGAAGAAAGGTTGCCAGTCTTAAATACATACTTTGGAATGACAAAGAATTGCTGTGTTTTAATGGACGTTTATTACCCAGATCTCTGAACTGCTATTTAGCAAAGACCGTACGATAGTTGAGGGATTTAGAGAAGGGGTAAGGCATTTGGGCGGCTCTTTAATTACGAAACATTAAAACATGTTGCAACCATGGATTCAGCTCAGCATGAACCTTGTAAGTTATACCAACAAAATGAATAATTTAGTTCACCATCAATGTGCCTGCACTGCACCTCCTTTATAATTTAAACACTGATTCCTATCATTATTTGCATCATGATTAAACTGCAGTTATTTCTTAGAAGAGTGTAAAGCACATTGATTTCCCCACAGTTACATTTCAGTAGCCACACACAAACAGATGCATGAGCACTGACCACTATCTTTATAAATTTAAAAAATAATCAGTAAGCACCTTCATTCCCAACAGGAACCATATCCATCAACTGCCCCATTATGACAGAGTCTGAAATTAGAACAGCAGTCTGATGAGGTCATCATGTCAAATTCAATGTGCTTTTAAAACCTCAATTCCCTTCTAAGAATTGATTTACAGACATCTGTGAACCACATAGTGGCAGATAAAATATCGTCAGAAGAAAATGAACACCACAGCATAGATTGTTCTTACACGCATATTCATAATTAAACATCAATGCAGGAGTGAATATTGAAGTGAAAATAAACACAAGAATGTGCTATTTCCTTCATGTGCAGAATATAATGGCTTAAGAAAAAAGGACAACGGATCACGCTTTCACCTGAAATTTTGTCACAGCTGGTAGGGTTTCCTTCACAAGGTGCTTTCACAGGTGGAATGCTGGTGTTAAGTTAAGTGTTGTCAACAAAGGTGTTTCCCCTCATGTCTCTAGGGTTAATGGCTGTGTTTTGAAGGAACCGGAGAAGGAAGCTGAATATGCTCGTCACCAGTTAATCAATTCTAAAAAAATTACACGATAGAAAGGCATTCTACCCACCCCAGTCACCTTTTCGTTTAGTACAAGATGATACAAAGTTTCTGAAATTCCTACTTGACCAGCATTGCATGATATACAAAATGCAGTGCCAAGAGGGTTCTCGACAAAGAAAATGTGAACAATGCCTTGCTCATACCTTTAAAACAGCAACTGTCTGGAAGTAATAAAAGGACATTCACCTCCCCCCTTAGGACACAGACAAGTCATAATGAACAAATACTGGAAGACATCACACAGGCACTTTGAATTAACAAAAACATGTCAAAGCAATTCAACCAGCACCTAATCAAAAAACCTCACTGGCGGAGCAAAAGGCAGTGCAGCACAAGTGACCATACCTGTGCTGTGGATAGAACATATCAAGTTAAAAAACTTTACATTTCCAAAAGAGACTATTATTTGTAACGAAAGCACTGATATTGAATGCAAAAATGCCTATATACAATTGTAGACTGCTGAAATAGAATCAATGGCAAAGGTATAGTTTAATGCACAGATTTTATTTGTCTTGGTCTCAGAAGACACAGAGTTAAAAATGTGAATTATTTGATATATTATGTGAATTATTATTTTGAATGATTAAAATATATATGAATATACAGTATATATGATTTATCAAATCCAACAGATAATTTCTTTTTTTAACTGAGGTACTTCATGTCCTAACATCAGAATGACCTCCTGTTCCATGATGTCAGAAATTAGAGTGTTTTTGTGTCTGTTCTACACTTTCTGTATGAATTCTGAATGTTGGGCACAGAAGTCGTATGTGCTGCGTTTTTCACAGGTGTGTGGCATCAGAGGGGAGTCATGATAAGCTGATGAACGAGCAGCCTGAGTGGGGAATTCCTAGCCTGTCCTCTACAGGGGAGAGTTTGGATCGGATAAAAGGTTGGTAGGCTGTGGGATGGGAAGAGACTGCCAGCTGTTTAACTGCTGCTATGACTGCTGGGAGTGACTACTGCTGTGACACAGAGAGACATACTGCTGTAATTAGAGCTAATTCCTGCTTGTGCATGGCTGTTGTTTTATGTTGTTTCATAAACCTTAGCCAGTCTGTTCACCTCCTAGACAGATGCTCATACTTTTCCCAGAATCTAGAAATGTTACTATACATAGAAACATTACACCAGCAAATTGGTGTAATGTGTAAACACCAGGGAGCACGAGAAATGGAAACTCGAATAAATGATAACAGGGTTAATTAATGGATCATATTATATATTAATGGAAATTAACATAAACTATATATCCATACCAGAGATGGCTATGTCACACTGATGAGTCCAAATAAGAGTGAAAGAGCTGTTGTTGGCTGCTAATTGCGATGTCATGTACACAGAACGAAAAGTTTTGCGACCCACACTATTGGTTGAGTGCTACCAAGCGGAGGGCAGGATTAGTTGGCCACAGCTATCTCTGCTCCTAGAAACACATCGACCCCTGCTGCCTCCCAGGCCTTGCAGGCATGTGAGGGCCGTGCCTCTGTTCCTCCAGTACAGGTGCAGCTCGGAGGTGGGCATGTCAGAAGAGTCTGCGCCGTCCTCCGTTGTGTGTGGTCGTGGAATTTGTAGGCGCAAGCCGAGCCATGAAAAACACAAGTGGCTAAATCCAAATAGGGTGGACCCAATAAAAATAACGACAGTAAATTTGATATACAAAGCAAATATATAGGAGTCTGCACAGCATTATTCAGTTAACACAGATTCCCCTGGTCTTCTAGAACACACACAGTTTATTTAGGCCCGCTATCATTTTAAGCAGATTCAAGTACAGGAACATCAACACTTATGTGCCCAAATTCCTCTATAACTTTGTCCCATTTTTTCATATTATCAAAACACTAGAAAATTAAATGTGGTGCATTAACATCCAAATATTAAATTTGGGTCTTTTAAAAAAATCTGAGTTTTTTTAAAAGTAAAATCACCACCTGTACTGTGGTCAAATTCATCGGCTCCTCGGCCTCCAGATCACTGAGAGGCTGAGCTGGTCAGAGACCACTGTTGCCATCCTCACTAAAGCGCCCAGCGCCTTCACTTCCTGAGATGAGACTCCCTAGGGATGAGCAAGACAACACTCACCAATATTTACTGTAATACCACTGAGAATGGTAAATTACAGTGTGGTATGGTGGAGCCGTGGTACAGGACAGAAAAGGCAAACAGAGGGTTGTGAGGTCTGCGCAGAAAATCAGTGGGAGTGAACTACACTCCATCGACTGGATATAATAATAGGAATTGCTTAAACTTATATAGCGCTTTTCTGGACACTCCACTCAAAGCGCTTTACAGGTAATGGGGACTCCCCTCCACCACCACCAATGTGCAGCATCCACCTGGATGATGCGAAGGCAGCCATAGTGCGCCAGAACGCTCACCACACATCAGCTATCAGTGGGGAGGAGAACAGAGTTATGAAGCCAATTCATAGATGGGGATTATTAGGAGGCCATGATTGGTAAGGGCCAATGGGAAATTTGCCCAGGACGCCAGGGTTACACCCCTACTCTTTTCGAGAAACGACCTGGGATTTTTAATGACCACAGAGAGTCAGGACCTCGGTTTTATGTCCAATCTGCAGGACGGCACCTGTTTACAGTATAATGTCCCCGTCACTATACTGGTGCATTAGGACCCACATGAACCGCCAGGTGAGCGTCCCCTGCTGGCCCCACTAACACCTCTTCCAGCAGCAACCTTAGTTTTTCCCCAGGAGGTCTCCCATCCAGGTACTGACCAGGCTCACACCTGCTGAGCATCAGTGGGTTGCCAGTCGTGAGTTGCAGAGTGATATGGCTGTTGGCCATATATCTCTACCGCTGCTACA